TTACTATGTATAAAGCACTGTACTAAGCATGTATGCATTAAATCAGTTGATCCTCACAACTTTTTGAGGTAATATGATTATTATTCCTAATTTATAGATGAGAAAACAGGCACAGAGAAGTTATTTGCTTATATACATATAGTAATTGGCAAAGCTGAAATTTGAATCTAGGCAGTCTAGCACCAGAGTCCACATTCTTAACTACCATGGTGCATATTAAGTAACTACCATATGTCAGTGCCTGGAACTTTATAATGGTAGCTGTTATTTTAACTTTTTGGACATCAATCATAACATATTTGAAAGTACCCAACAGTTAGTTCATCTGGCTTTTTTAAATGATAGAATTACTAACTCTCTAAGGATTTCAGTAACCCCTCTATTAGATTACCCCATTCTTCCCTTTGCTTAAGCATGTTTTTTGGTTTTTTTATTTTTTTTAATAAATCTTTATTGTTCAGATTATTACAATTGTTCCTCTTTTTTCCCCCATAGCTCCCCTCCACCCGGTTCCCACCCCACCCTCTGCCCTTACCCCCCCCCCCCACCACTGTCCTCGTCCATAGGTGTACGATTTTTGTCCAGTCTCTTCCTGCACCCCCCGCACCCTCTTCCCCCCGAGAATTGTCAGTCCACTCCCTTTCTATGCTCCTGATTCTATTCTATTCACCAGTTTATTCTGTTCGTCAGATTTTTTTATTCACTTGATTTTTAGATTCACTTGTTGATAGATACGTATTTGTTGTCACTTTGTTCATAATTTTTATCTTTACCTTTTTTTTCTTCTTCCTCCTCTTAAAGAATACCCTTCAGCATTTCATATAATACTGGTTTGGCGGTGATGAACTCCTTTAGCTTTTTCTTATCTGTGAAGCTCTTTATCTGACCTTCAATTCTAAATGATAGCTTTGCTGGGTAAAGTAATCTTGGTTGTAGGTTCTTGGTATTCATCACTTTGAATATTTCTTGCCACTCCCTTCTGGCCTGCATAGTTTCTGTTGAGAAATCCACTGACAATCGTATGGGTACTCCCTTGTAGGTAACTGTTTTTCTCTTGGTGCTTTTAAGATTCTCTCCTTGTCTTTTGCCCTTGGCATTTTAATTATGATGTGTCTTGGTGTGGTCCTCTTTGGATTCCTTTTGTTTGAGGTTCTCTGTGCTTCCTGGACTTGTAAGTTTATTTCTTTCACCAGGTAGGGAAAGTTTTCTGTCATTTCTTCAAATAGGTTTTCAATATCTTGCTCTCTCTCTTCTTCTGGCACCCCTATAATTTGGATGTTGGTATGCTTGAAGTTGTCCCAGAGGCTCCTTACACTACCTTTATATTTTTGGATTCTTTTTTCCTTTTGCTTTTCTGGTTGGGTGATTTTTGCTTCTTCGTATTTCAAATCATTGACTTGATTCTTGGGATCCTCTAGTTTGCTGTTGGATCTCTGTATATTCTTTATTTCAGTCAGTGTATGCTTAATTTCTAATTGGTCCTTTTTCATGTCCTTGAGGGTCTCACTATATTTCTCGGAGGTTTCTAGAAGATTCTTGAGTAACCTTATAACTGTGGTTTTGAACTCTACATCCAGTAGTTTGCTTTCCTCCATTTCTTTCATTTATGACCTGTTTCTTTGTTTCCGCATTTTGGCTGCTTCCCTGTGTTGATAGAGTGGCTTTGTGTGCTAGGTGTCCTATAGGGCCCAGTGGCTCAGCCTCCCCTAATAACCTGAGGTGGACACTCATGGTGCACCCCTTTGTGGGCTGTGTGCATAGTCTTGTTGTAGTTAAGCTTTGATTGCTGTTGGTATCACTGGGAGAACTTTTGTGCTGGAGACACCCTTACGGGGCAGGACTTGCTTCAGTGGGGCTTTGGCGCTCACTGAATCAGCCCCCTAAGTGTGTCTCTTATGGATGTGAAGAGTTGTAATCTGGATGGTCTCACTCTGACCACTGGATCTCCAAGGAGGTGCAAAGTCAGCCACTGCCTGAGGCCACCCTGCAGGAGCTACAGAGGGATCTCCAGATTCTTCCTCTATGTTTGGGGTTTGGAGGTGCCCAGATGAGGCGCAGCTGTGAAGCAATGCAGGCTGATGACGAGCCTTAGGCCTTTTTTGAAGCTCTGGGGTTCTCTGACCCAGCTGCAGTTTGACAGGTTTTTAGGTGGAGAAAGGCCAGGCCATTGGTATGAAAAAGCCTCTGCGCACAGCTTGGGTGGGGTTGTAAATTGGGTGGGGCAGGGTCTCAGGGAATCACCAGGGCAGAGCAAACAGCAATGGTTGCCCGTCCGCCCGCTCCGGATAGGTCCCTGGGTCTCTGTGTCCTGTGGCTCCATGCAGGAACAATGACCGGTGCAAGCACCTCTGTGAGAAAGCCGCCCTCACGTTCCGGCCCAATGCCAGACAGTCTAGTTTCTCTCTGTATGAGTCTGAGTTCAGAGCAGTCGGGAGCTTATCTCCCTCCCGATTGACAAAGACAACAGTGTACCCAGTGAAAGGGGCTGGCATTTTCGCGCACACCTCCGTACCTCCGCTCTTCCACACCTCTGCACCTCCTACCGGACTCAATGTGCTTTTCTCTTTCCTTCTAGTTGTAGAATTTCCACTCAGCCAGCCTTCCCACAGTTCTGGATGATATTCGTTTTGTCTTTTAGTTGTAGTTTTAATGTGGTTGTGCGCGGCAGCAAGTTCAGGTGTTTACCTATGCCGCCATCTTGGTTGTCTCTGCTTAAGCATGTTTTAAATTACTATATGTAAAGAGGTCAGCTATCTTCAGTAGGGATATACATCAAAGATGAGTATGCACTGGGTAAAATACCAGTATTGAATAAAATGGAAAGAGGTCCTAGGAAGAAAGTTATTATCTCTTAAAGAAAGATACAACAGAAGCAATTACAATAAATAAATAAAACTGTTAATATATATGATAAAGGGACAAGGAGGACAGATCATTAAGTTCCACATAGGGCCCTAGCTGGTTTGGCTCAGTGGATAGTGTGTCAGCCTGCAGACCAAAGGGTCCCAGCTTCAATTCTGGTCAAGGGCACGTTCTTTGGTTGCAGGCTTCTCCCGGGCCCGGGCCCTGGTCAGGGCATGTGCAGGAGTCAACCAATCAATATGTTTCTCTCTGTCTTTCCCTCTCTCTACCACTTTCTCTAAAGATCAATGGAAAAACATCCTCAGGTGAATATTAACAAAAACAAAAGAGTTCCACATAGTCCACTGTGTGTCAGACAAACTGATAAGGATAAAACCAATAATGAATTAAGTGAATACTACAAGTTTAGTTTGGAAGATTAGTTCCTTTCTATTACATTACTAACAGGAACAGTTTCATATATCTTATCTGGTTTATAGAAATCATTCTAAATTTTTCATTTTTCACAGTTATTTCCTCCGTTACTAATTCCCAAAAAGGAAGATTAAAACTCTTTAATTGGAGCATATATTAACAGTCTTTATTGTCTATTTGCTCCATAGAGATATGTGTATAAAATTTAAGATTGTAGCTTTTTATTTTGAATACTAGAGGCCTGATGAACGAAATCCGTGCAAGGGACTTGGCCCCCGCCGCTGCGGCAGCTGCCTTCTGTCTCGCCCCCCGCCACCATGGCTTCGTCTGGAAGGTCGTCCGGAAGACGTCCCAGTCTAATTAGCATATTATGCTTTTATTATTATAGACTAGAGGCCCAGTGCATGGGGGTGGGGGTTGTCCCTCAGCCCAGCCTGCACTCTCTCCAATCTGGGACCCCTCAAGGGATATCATCCCTCTCACAATCCAGGACTGCTGGCTCCCAACCGCTCACCTGGCTGCCTGCCTGATTGCCCCTAACCACTCCCCTGCCAGCCTGATCAATGCCTAACTGCTCCCCTGCTGGCCCGATTGCCCCTACCTGCCCTCCTCTGCTGGCCTGGTCGCCCTTAACTATCCTCCCCTGCAGGCCTGGTTGCCCCTAACTGCCCTGCCCTGCCGGTCCGGTCACCCCTAACTGCCCTCCCTGCCCACCTGGTTGCCCCTAACTGCCCTCCCCAGCAGGTCTGGTCACCCCTAACTGCCCTCCCCATCAGGTCTGGTCGCCCAAAACTGCTCTCCCCTGCAGGTCTGGTTGCCCCTAATTGCTCTCCCCTGCAGGCCTGGTTCCCCCCAACTGCCCTCCCTTGCAGGCCTGGTTTCCCCTAACTGCCCTCCTCTGCCGGCCCAGTCACCCCTAACTGCCTTCCCCTGCTGGCCTGATCGCCCACAACTGCCCTCCCTTTCAGGCCTGGTCCCTCCCAACTGCCCTCCCCTGCCAGCCTGATCACCCACAACTTCCCTTTCCTACCTGCCATCTTGAGTTCACATGGGGGTGGCCATCTTGTGTGTTGGAGTGATGGTCAATTTGCATATTACTCTTTTATTAGATAGGATATTTTTATTGATTTCAGAGAAGAAGGGAGAGGGAGAGAGAAATAGGAACATCAATGATGAATCATTGATCGGCTGTCTACTGCTTGCCCCACACTGGGGATAGAAGCTGCAACCTAGGCATGTGCCCTGACTAGGAATTGAACTGTGACCTCCTAGTTCATAGGTTGACACTCAACCACTGAGCCACGATGGCCGGGCAAGATTGTAGCTTTTTAAATATCTTTGGGTAGAAGTTTATTAAGGTAGCCCTTGTTTTTAATGGTGAAATAGTATTATAAACAGTTACTTTAGTAATTATTATTTCTTTTATTATAAGAAAGATCATTAACTTTACTAAATGGAATACTTATATATCTAGGTTATATAATGGAATTAAAATCAGTTGATATTTGTATATACTCGTATCCTATATCTTTGTAATTTTTATTCTGGCATCATATCTGAGATTGGGTTAGTCACACTTCTGCCTGAGGTGGACTTGGCATTTTTTTCCAATATCAGAATGAGCTTTTTTTTGTTAATCCTCACCCAAGGATATATTTTTCCCATTGATTTTTAGAGATAGTGGAAGGGAGGGGGAGAGACAGAGAGAGAAACATCTATGAGAGAGAGACACATCAATTGGTTGCCTCCTGCACACACCCCAACTGGGGTCAAGGTGAGAGCCTGCAACCGAGGTAAGTGCCCTTGATCAGAATCAAAACCATGACCTCTCAGTCTGTGGGTCAATGCTCTAACCATTGAGCAAACCGGCTAGGGCCAGAATTAGCTTTTAGATGGGATGAGGATATATCATTGGAGAGAGGGTAAGGTGAATACATGTGGGGAAACAAACAAACATGTGAAATGATAAGGGGCCAATATTCTTAGAAGCCCCAGGTAGGGTTTTAGAAATCCACTGTAGTTCTAGATTGTAATGAACTCCACGGAATCCAGTTTCTTTGGTGTAAACAATTGTAGAGAAAATCTGTTGTGTTTTCTAATATATAATATTATATTATATATAAAACAAAGCCAAGTTCATTCCAGGAATTCTCTGGGAAATTCAGACAGTTATGTGGAAGATATATAAGAAAATCCCAAATGCAAAAGAGATCGAAGTAGAACCAAGTTCAGATATTATTACTGAAGCATTCATGGCTTTAGCCCCTAGTTGAAGCATATATTATTAGCAGTCTTCATTGTGTATTTGCTTCATAAGGATATGTGTATAAAAGTTAAGATTGTAGCTTTTTAATTATCGTTGGGCAGAAATAATAATAATCAAACTTCACTTGTTTGTTCAAGTTTTATAGAGCTGGATGTTCTTTCAAATAAATACAGTAAAATTATGACTGGGTTAACAGCATTTAACATGCTAGTGTGATTTTTGTACTCTTCTTTCTTTTCCTTGGCACTGGCTTCAGTTCTATAAGATACTTCCATTCAGGTTTTCAGTATCAGACCTTAGGAAGACAGGATAGATAGCATTTTTATTGAAACGTGGTCATTCTTGCCCGGATGTGGTAGATCAGTTATTGAGCATCAAACTATGAACCAGAAGATCAGAGTTCGATTCCCGGTCAGAGCACTATGCCCTTGTTGCAGGCTCCATCATCAGTGTGGGAGGCAGCTGATGAGTGATTCTCATCATTGATGTTTCTATCTCTCTCTGTCTTTTCCTTACTCTATGAAATAAATAGGAATGTATTTTTTTAAAAAAAAAAGAAAAGTGGTCATCTTAAATACATTTTATGTACAAATGTGCAGTCTGGATTTACTGTTTAACTGCCTGGCCTCAAACATCATTGTTATTTTGCTTTTCAAATATTTCCATGTGTTTCTTACAGTGACTTACTAAAGGAACTTAAAAAGAAGGATGTGGAGATTTTATTATTTTTACTAAATTTCTTTTCTTTTTGGCTACTCTCTGTTGAATTGTAGAATTAGCTCAGTATCACCCAACACCTCCTTTGAGCCCAGAATTGCCTGGTAGTTGCCAGAAGGAGTTCAAAGAGAACAAAGAGCCCTCTCCAAAGGCAAAGCGCAAGCGAAGTGTGAAGATCAGCAGCCTGGCTTTGGAATCTATGCATTGGCAAAATGACTCTGTCCAGATCATAGAAAGTGCCAGTGATTTAAAGAGCATGGATGAATTTCTTCTGAAAAAGGTATACTTTGAATGCTGAGTTAGGCTCCTGAGCAGCTTTGACTATGGAATACTTGTATATATCAGGATATGGTCCCTAGAGATCAGGGTGACATATGCTTTATTAAATTAGATGGTCTTTCCTTTTCGAAAAAGGTGTAAATAATATAATATACATTAGTCGGTCTGGGTAAACAGAATTTTACTTTAACTGTCATGTTATATATTCCGTATGTGAAGATGAGGCTTGTTATTGCATTCCATACTTGAAGTTGTTTTTCTGGTAGAACTATAGAATCATAAATGTTAGAAAGGACATTAGAAAATCATCTAGCAATAATAAAACTTTGGCTGTTTAGTCGTGCTTTTACCTATAATAGAGTGGTTTGCACTTTCAGGACAGTCATATGTGTTCACTATTTCATTTACTTCTTTTCAATTACTTGATTCAGTACAAAAACTCTTTCTGTGGTCCCCAGATGAATGACCTAGATAATGAAGACAGCAAGAAAGACACACTAGTGGATGTTGTATTTAAAAAAGCCCTGAAAGAATTCCGGCAGAATATCTTCAGCTTTTATTCATCTGCATTGGCGGTAATTAGTATATATTTTGTAGCTCAACATACAAAAAATTTGTCAATAATACAGAGGCCATGTTCAACTAGAGATTTCTTTGGTTCCTTGTTTTTGTTTTAGGTATAGCTAGGGAAAAGCATACTGACTGTTCTCAGATTAGTAGCTTCCTCGAATTTCCTTAAGTAGTTTTCTTTTTCTCCCTCCTGGGTATATTTTCATCTTCCTAAGATATTGAATTTAAATATTCTAGATATTACCCAGGGACTCTACTATTTTGACTTTTCATAATCCTTTAGTTCTAGCTTCTAATTCTTATATGTGTGGAATTATTATACAGTTTTTCCAGTAGTTTTGTTCACTGATTTCTACCTATCAGTTTATATCACTTTCAGATTTACTTTATGCTTTCATATGATATTGGTTATGTTTTAGAAAATTTATATTATAATGCCAGACTATAGGAGAAAGTCCCAGGACTTTTTCAAATTACATTCTTTAAACTGTTTAGTATTTTGCTAAAATTTAGCAGGTTTTACTCAGCAGATATTTCACAGTATAGTTGGAATTTACATCTATAAGTACCACATGACCTCCTGGGCATGCCCATTAGAAAGTTTATCAGGTTCCTAATTTTTATTCTGAATATTAACCCAATGCAAATTGAATCAATCTTCTATATGAAAGAATTTCTTCCTAAAAACCTTAAATTTCTTCTTTTATTGCTTATTAGATAGATGATGGGAAAAGCATACGGTATAAAGACCTCTATGCACTATTTGAGCAGATTCTGGAAAAGACCATGAGACTTGAGCAGCGAGATTGGAGAGAATCTCCAGTCAGAGTTTGGGTCAACACTTTTAAAGTGTTTTTAGATGAATATATGAATGAATTCAAGACTTTGGATTGTATACCCCCAAAGGTAAATATGGTATATTTTGATTTCTTAAAGGATTCAGTTATTAACTCTGCTTAAGAGTCTGTTTGAGACATCTGATATTTGAGAAAAATATTACAGTGAAATGTCAACTTAGCATTACTTGAGATTTAACAAACTCCATTATGTCTTACAAGTTCATCAGACCATATTTTCTAAATATGTCATTTAATACATTAATTAATACATTCTTCACTGAGATAAAATATAATGTGCCCTCAAGATTATACCTTCAGCTTTGATAGAGGTCATTACATGAATTTTCTTTTGTAAAATAGTGGTTGAAGGTATGAGTCACTGTATCATCTAGTGACCTTACATGAGGATCCACAAATTATATTTCTCCTTGAATTAGGTTTTAGGAAAATGTGTGTTTCTGGAAATCTGTAGAACAGTAATAATAATATTTATTAAGTACCAGGAATTGGTCTAGGTCAGTGGTTCTCAACCTTCCTAATGCCGCGACCCTTTAATACAGTTCCTCATGTTGTGGTGACCCCCAATTTCATTTTTACAAATTGAACATAATTAAAGCATAGTGATTAATCACAAAAACAATATGTAATTATATATGTGTTTTCCGATGGTCTTAGGCGACCCCTGTGAAAGGGCGTTGGACCCCCAAAGGGGTCGCGACCCACAGGTTGAGAACCGCTGGTCTAGGTGTTTGGTGTTTAATTCTTGCTTCAGCCCTATTAAATAACTATTATGAAATCCATTTTACAGAGGAGTAGCAGGCTTAGAAAAAGTTATCAATGTGTTTCCTTTCAGTATCCCAGCTTAAATAATTAGTTGGGATACTGAATTATTAGGTATTAATATTATCTAATTATTAGGTATTAGGAATACTATTAATCCTTTTTGTTATGTTACATTTTATTTTCAGTTATTCTGGTTATATGTTTTTAGATTTACAAACTACCTTAAATCATTTTTGAAGTAGTCAGATACAAATAAATCCTTAGAAGTTCTTCTGTTCTAGATCTAGGCTAAGGTCTTTGTTATGCAGAAGATTTTTACTAGGCTTATACAGTGTTTGTTTATAATTTTAAAAGGTTAGGCTTCAATTGTTCTATACTATGGTTATCAGGAAATGTCATATGTAAAAGAACTTTTTTGTGTTCCACAAAGTTTTTTATATTTAGCTCTGGGATAGAGAGTTTTCTAGAGCCAAAATAGGGAAAATGCAATCTTTGTCATTAGTAATCATTTAATTAATGAGTAAAATAAAATCATTTAAATTAATATGGTGTGGTCTCTGGACAGAACTGAGGTTTAAAGAGAAAATAATTTCTAAAGTATCCTTTCATTCTGTTGTTTTTATGAATATTGTTTTAGCAAACTTCAAATTTTATCACATTTGCTTACTCTATTACCCTTTGAGCAAAAATCTTAGCATTTGCAAAGAAGTAAGAAAGTATGTTGGTCTTTGTTATATCACAGTTTTTATATTTATTTCCCACCAGGTGCCAAAAACAGAAAGAAAGAAAAGAAGGAAAAAAGAAACTGATTTAGTAAGTCATAGTCTTTTATGTTATAAAAAAGGTAATTTTTAGACCAGCAGTCTGAAGCATATCATACCATATTTATGTGGCTATGTTTAAGGAATAAGTTAATCAGTTGCCTATAATGTAATCATTTTTGGCTTTAAAATATTTGGAATGACATGTGGCTTTGTCTTTTGTGATTTGACTTGTTATCAGTGGTGGCTCCCTAAAATGGCTGGCTGACTTCAAACCTACTAAACTGTGTGATAATAAATGGGTATTGTTTTAAGCTGCTAAGTTTATGGTAATTTGTTACAGTAGCAATAGAAAACATATAATAGCTGTGCATAGAAATCTGTTTTACAGCTGTCTAATATTCCTTGCCGGACCTTTGGGTTATTTCTAGTCTTCTGCTGTTACAAACAGTAATGGCACAGTCAGTAACTCTGTGTGTGTGTGTGTGTGTGTGTGTGTAAGTGTGTGTATGTGTGTGTGTAAGTGTGTAAGTAAGTGGGGGGATATTCTTAGAATTGGAATTACTGGGTCAAAATACATCTGTTATTTTTATAAATATTGCTTTGTTTCCCCATAGGGGTAATCTCATTTTTCAGTTTCAACAGTAATATCTGAATATGGGTTGTTAAATTTTTAGATTTTTTTTTGCCAGTTTGATAGACAAGGAATATTGTATCTCCTTATAGTTTTAATTTTATTTTATCTTATTATCAACTAGAGGCCTGGTGCACGAAATTCGTACACTTGGAGGGGAGGGGGGCTGGGGGTCCCTCAGCCTGGCCTGCGCCCTCTCGCAGTCCGGGAACCCTCGGGGGATGTCCGACTGACGACTTAGGCCCAAGCCATCAATCGGACATTTTTAGCACTGCTGTGGAGGTGGGAGAGGCTCCCGCCACCGCCACTGTGCTCGCCAGCCATGAGCCCAGCTTCTGACTGAGTGGTGCTTCCCCCCTGTGGGAGTGCACTGACCACCAGGGGGCAGCACCTGCATTGCGTGGGATTGGGCTGAAACTGGCTCTCCAACATCCGCTGAGGGGTCCCAGATTGTGAGAGGGTGCAGGCCAGGTCGAGGAACCCCACAGGTGCATGATTGGGGCCGGGGAGGGACGCGGGAGGTTGGCCAGCCGGGGTGGGACTGTGGGAGGGCTCCAGGGCGTGTCCGGCCCATCTCGCTTAGTCCTGATCAGCTGGACCCCAGCAGCAAGCTAACCTACCAGTCAGAGTATCTGCCCCCTGGTGGTCAGTGCACATCATAGCAACTGGTCAACTATCTGCCCCCTGGTGGTCAGTGCATGTCATAGTGAGCAGTTTAGCAGCCTTAGCATATCATTAGCATATTACACTTTGATTGGTTGAATGGATGACTGGACACTTAGCATATTAGGCTTATATTATCTGGATAGGATGAGTTTATCTCTTTTTATGCTTAAGTACCATTTGCATTTTTCCTCATGTCCTGTATGTTTATGTTCAATCCCCATTTTTCTATTGGGGTTTTGGTCTTTCTCAATTTCTAGGAATTTCATATATGAAGCAGATTACCTTTTGTCTGTGATATAAGTTGCAAATATGTTTTCCCATTTTGTCAGTTGTTTTTTGACCTGTCTTTTGATGTTACTTGCTGTATAGATTTTTACTTTTACAAAATTAGACTTACCAATCTTTTCTTTCATAGGCTCTGAATTTAGAGTCTCAATTAAACTTTCTCCTACTTAAAGGTTAAAAAGAAATTCTAAATTTTTATCTTCTAACATTTTAATGGTCACATTATTTTGCATTTAAATTCTAAGTGGAGTTTATCCTGATGGATAGTATGAGATACAAATATAATTTTACCTCTTATCAAATCTAATATCATTTATTTAAAAGTCCATCTTTTTGAGATGTCACCCTTTTTATGTTATAAATTCCCCTTTATGCATTGATCTTTCTTATTCTGTTCCATTAGTTGATCTGAATATTCATGAGTTAATTTCACATTATGTTAATTATTAAATTTTTCTTATGTGTGATAGTTGGCAGGGCTAAATCCTCCTTAATTAATTTTCTCTTCTAGAACTTTTCTGGCTATTCCTTCTTGTTTTTCCATATGAACTTTGAATTTACTTGTCTAGTTTGTTGAGGCAAAAATGTATTAGTTTGTTTTTTTTTTGCTTCCCTTATAAGTTAATATAGAACTGACATCTTTATAATTTTGAATCTTTTCACGTCTGTTTTTGTATTCTTTAGGAAGGGTTTTAAAGTTTTTCATATATAGGTTTTTATTATTTCATGTTACATCTATTTCTGGGTATTTTATCTCAGCAGAGAGAATCACTGTAGTTCATAGTATGGTGTATATCCTTCTATACTTTTTCTCTACTTATATAAACTCTTTAATCTGGTGGTTCTCAAAGTAATCTTCAGGTAAAACTGCTGACAACTTAGCTCAAATCAGGGGTTTCTGGGACACTTTCAGGGATTTTGCAAGATCAAAACTATTTTCATAATAATAATAATAACATTATTTTTCTTCTTCACTGAGTTAACAATCATAGGTAAAACTGCTGACAACTTAGCTCAAATCAGGTCAGTTGCTCCAAATGGGAATGGGAAGAATTCAATAGCTGCAAATAATGGTTCTCTCAAAAAAATAAAATCTCTTGTACAATTTAACTGTAAACTGATATAGCCTTTAAAAAACTGTGACAAATACTTATAACAAAATTTATAATTTTAAAGTATACAGCTTAATGTGGTTTAATAATAGTCATGCACTGCATAAGGACATTTCATTCAATCATGAACTGCATATTCAATGGTGGTCCCATCTATATATATAAAGAGCTAGGGTCCCTAATGTCCAAAATGACCGAAGGGACGACCAGTCGCCTCCCCCCAGCCCATAGGGGACTGGTGAGCTGTGGCAGGCGGTAAACAGCAAGCGGCTCGCGCTGGGCCAGGCCCTCCCCTCCCCCCACTGGCAGTGCAGCAGGGCCTGTGCCAGGCAGAGGCAGGAGAGGCACATCCCGCACCCTACCAGGTTCTCAGACCCCCGTGCCAGCATCAAGGCCACAGATGCCAGCGCTTTGTTATCTGCCACAACTCCGCGGCCCTGGCGCTGCCCTGGCAGAAGTTTTGCGTGCCTCACCTATCCGGCCCAGGACCATTTTCTCCATCTACTCTTGCCACCTGCTGCCCGCCCGCCGCTCAGACACCCAAGCCAGGGACTGGCTGCGGGCGCTCTCAGACGCTCCTTTCCGCCCCCAAGCGTCGGGCAGCGTCTGAGCCCTGGGAGGGTGGGTCTGGGCTAGGGATCCACAGCCCCTCTTCTGCAATGTTCCACCCAGCAGTGGGGGAGGGGGCAGCCTCCCTCCTTTCCAGCTCTGTCACAGTGCAGAGGCTGGGGCGCATCTCTGCCCCCAACACCCTCTGAAACCCTGGGAAGTAGTGCCCGCCAGCCCAGCCTCAGGCTCTCCACCCTCACGAGCCTGCACCTGGCTCGCCAGTGGCTGTTGCTCCCCTCAGCCATCAGCCCGCCGGCATGCGAGGAGAGGAAAGAAGAGCTGAGCAAATGGCCTGTTGTGAACAACTACTGTGTACCAAGCACTATGCTAGATGCTTTTGCATAAATGCCTCGACTTAATCTAAAATATGCCCCAGGGAAGAAAATCTTTTCTGTTGCTCGTAATCCTCACCCAAGGATATTTTCCCACTGATTTTTAGAGAGAGTGGAAGGGAGGGGGAGAGACACAGAGAAACACTGATATGAGAGAGACACATTGACTGGTTGCCCCCGCATGCACCCTGACCAGAGCCAGGGATCCAGCCTGCAACTGAGGTATATGCCCTTGACCTGAATCGAAGCCAGTTAAGGGCAGGGAGAAAAATTTTAGTGCAAATGAGGAACCTTTGGCTCAGAGATTAAGGGTGATAAATGGAAGAATGCCAATACCATTCATACCTTAAAAAAAACACACAAGTTTCTCAAGAGGATACAAATAAAAAGAGGAAGAATATGTTTTCTGTCTCCAAGGTTGAAACAAACCTTCATTAAGGGCAGGGTAGACAAACTACGACTTTCAGGCCAAAACTGGCCCACCACTTGTTTTGACACAGTTTGCTTGAAAACAGCCATGCTCAATGTCTGTAGCTGCTTTCAGGCTACAAGGGCAGAGTCAACAGCTGTCACAAAAACCATGTGGCACAAAAAGCCTTAAATACTTTCTCTCTAGCACTTTACAGAAAAAGTCAGCTGACCCCTGATCAAGTGTAAAAATTTATCAAGCAACTTCTATGCTGTATACTAAGCTTCAGCTAATATGTTGCCATAAACAGGAACTTCATGAAACAAATTTAAATTTTATTTTTATTTTTCTTGTTAATCCTCACCTGAAGATAAATTTTCCACTGCTTTTCAGAGAGAGTGAAAGGGAGGGGTGTAGAGAGAGAAACATTAATGTGAGAGAAACACATCAACTGGTTGCCTCCCGCACATGCCCGCAGGGAGGGGGCAGTGCTGGGGCCCATGCTATGTCACAGATCAATGTGAACTATAGTAAACTTAAAAGCAACGGACTTGTCATACATATATCCCTACTGCAGAAATTAATAAAAATAAATATTTAGCAAATACATTTGTCAAAATTATTTAAATGAACCTAAAAACTTTAATATCCTAAAAAATATCATTACCTTTGGATTGTGCATAACAGTCGTCTCTCCACTTGGAAACTCTAATCTGTGGTGCCACTGATTTGTGGTTACAGCTTTTTTATATTCGACCTACAATAATAAAAACAACATACATCCATTAATACAAATCTATATCACATTGAGAAAAAGTGGAAGAAAATTATAACTATGATGGTTGAAGCAGGTGCTGTGGGAGCAAAGGGACCAAAAAAATGGTTATGTCCAACAGCCATCTAACACCACACATGGTGTGCGATTTAGTCATTGTTAGAACCGAATTTAGTACTGGTGTGCCCCATTTTAAGCAGACCCCCCAAATAGACTTACCATATTGATAA